AAGTTAAGCTTAACTATATTCGCTCCCGCGCGAAAGGTCCCCGGTTCGAAACCGGGCAGAAACATTTGGGTCTGATAGCTGGTGAGATCGGAATCATTGTTACTTTCCTGATGTCAAGGCAAGTTTTCGCTTTCCTTGTTTGATATATAATCATCTACTAGATACAAATGGCTGTTTCCTTCTAAAAAATTCTAAAAATGTATCAAAATCCATATGTTTCTGCCCGGATTCAAACAGGGGACCATCGCGTGTTAGCCGAACGTGATAACCACTACACTACAGAAACTGCACAACGCAGCTTCCTGCGCCTCCAGAAATTTGGGTCATTTAAGAATTCATATAGCTGCTAAAAACGAGAAAATTAGATGGCTACTGAAAGCTCGAAATTATTAGGCAAAGTACAGCATCCAGCTGTTTCTGTAGTGTAGTGGTTATCTCATTCGCTTCACGCGCGAAACGTCCCTGGTTCGAAACCGGGCAGAAGCATTTGGGTCTGATAGCTATTTGAGATCGAAACTCATTGTTACTTTCTGATGTCAATGCAAGTTTTCGCTTTCCTTGTTTGATATCTATCAACATCTACAATCACGTTAATGTTCTAAAAGTGCATCAAATTCCTAATGTTTCCTTCGGTTTTGAACCGGAGCCCTTTCGCGTGTTAGGCGAACGTGATAACCACTACACTACAGAAACTGCGCAATACATCTTCCTGCACCTCCAGAAATTTGGGTCGTTTAAGAATTCATACAACTGCTAAAAAACGAGAAAAGTAGATGTCTACTGAAAGCGTGACATTTTTAGGCAAAGGTACAGCCATACCGCTGTTTCTGAAGTGTAGTGGTATTCACATTCGCTTTACACGCGAAAGGTCCCTGGTTCGTAACCGGGCCAGAAACAATTTGGGTCTGATAGCTGGTTGAGATTGGAACTCATTGGATCCTTTCTGATGTCAATGCAGATTTTGCTTTCCATTGTTGATATCGTGTCAACATCTCCCAATTGCTTTCACGTTAAAGTTCTAAATTTGCATCAATTTCCTACTGTTTTCTGCCCGGTTTCGAACCATGTGAACCATTTCGCGTAGTTTAGGCGAACGTGATAACCACTACACTACAGAAACTGCACAATAAATCTTCCTGCACCTCCAGAAATTTGGGTCATTTAAGAATTCATACAGCTGCTAAAAAACGAGAAAGTAGATGTCTACTGAAAGCGTGACATTTTTAGGCAAAGAACTGCCATACTGCTGTTTCGGTAGTGTAGTGGTTATCACGTTTGCCTCACATGCGAAAGTTCCCAGGTTACGAAAACCGGCAGAAACATTTGGGTCTGATAGCTGGTTGAGATCGGATCTCATTTGATCGTTTCCTGATTGTCAATGCAGGGTTTTGGGATTTTCATGTTTGATATCATGTCAACATTACTAGGGTACAAATGGCCTTCCCGTTAATGTTCTAAAAATGTATCAAATTCCAGATGTTTCAGTCCCGTATTCTAACAGGGGACCATTCGCGTATAGGCAATGGTGATAACCACTACAGCGACAGAAACTGCACAACTGCAGCTTCCTGCACCTCCAGAAATTTGGGTCGTTTAAAGGGGCACTTGGCAACTCTGGCCATTTCTTCGCTGGTTTTCACTTTTGTGGTCGCATGTTTCTCAACGAGCTCCCCCTACAGGTCTGGGACGTATATTACACAACACTGTCGTAAAAAAAACTCACTTGCGGCACCCTCCTCCCCCTTTCTACCGCTGCTCATGTGCATTTGTTGCCGGGTTTTTTCGTGTGGCGCGATGTCTACCGAGGTGGGTAATACATTATACACTGTATCATAGAACACTGACATGTATAGCCGGCGTGATTAACCGTTATTGAGGGGGGCGTGTGTGTTTACGTTGAATTACCGTAAAGCAGTTTGTGTTTCTCGCTCGTTCTCGCTTCTCGCGATACTTCCATTTCCAATTTACCGGGACGGTAGTCCCAAAGTTGCAAGGCTGGTTTTCCACCGGGGGGCGGGGGGGAGCGGGGACAGTCACCGTTAACACCGGAACAGACCATTTAACCATCCAAATGATTTCCAGACGGGTTTATTAAGTTGAAAAAGTTGCCAAGTGCCCCTTTAAGAATTCATATAGCTGCTAAAAACGCCAAAATTAGATGTCTACTGAAAGCACGAGATTTTAGGCGTAGAACACAGTCGCAGCTGTTTCTGTAGTTGTAGTGGTTATCACGTTCGCTTTACACGCGAAAGGTCCCTGGTTCAAAACCGGGCAGAAGCATTTGGGTTATGATAGCTGTTTGAGATCGAAGTTATTGATCCTTTCCTGATGTCAATGCAAGTTTTCGCTTTCCTTGTTTGATATCATGTCAAAATCTGCTAGATACAAATGGCTTTCCCTTTAATGTTCTAAAAATGTATCAAATCCTGAAGTTTCTGCCCGGTTTCGAACCGGGGGACCTTTCCGCGTGTTAGGCAACGTGATAACCACTACACTACAGAAACTGCGCAATGCAACTCTCAGCCCCTCCAGAAATTTTGGTTCATTTAAGAAATCATACAGCTGCTAAAAACGAGAAAAGTAGATGTCTACTGAAAGCGTGACATTTTTAGGCAAAGTACAGCCATACCGCTGTTTCTGTAGTGTAGTGGTTATCACGTTTGCCTCACACGCGAAAGGTCCCCGTTCGACCGGGCAGAAACATTGTAGGGTCATGATATTGCCTGGTTGAGATCGGAACTCATTGTTACTTTCCTGACTTCATGCAAGTTTTCGCTTTCCTTGTTAGATATCATATCAACATCTACAATCACGTTAATGGTTATAAAATTGCATTAAATTCCCAGTGTTTCTGCCCGGTTTTTGAACCCGTATGCCGCTTTCGCGTGTTAGGCGTAACGTGATAACCGGCAACACTGACAGAATCTGCACAATGCAGGCTTCCTGCACCCTCAGAAATTTGGGTCGTCTTAAGATTCATACAGCGGATAAAAATGAGAAAAGTTAGTATGTCTTGCTGAAAGTACGGACATTTTCGATGGCAAAGTAGCAAATTCTACAGCTTGTTCTGAAGTGTAGTGGTTATCACTTTTGCCTCACACCACCGAAAGGTCCCCGGTTCGGAAACCGGGCAGAAACATTTGGGGTCTGATAGCTGGTGAGATCGAACTCATTGTTACTTTCCTGATGTCAAGGCAAGTTTTTCGCTTTCCTTCTTTGATATCATATCAACATCTACTAGATACAAAGGGCTTTCCCCTTCTCAAAAATTCTAAAAATGTATCAAAATCCATATGTTTCTGCCCGGATTCAAACAGGGGACCATTCGCGTGTTAAGCCGAACGTGATAACCACTACACTACAGAAACTGCACAACGCAGCTTCCCTGCGCCTCCAGAAATTTGGGGTCATTTAAGAATTCATATAGCTGCTAAAAACGAGAAAATTAGATGGCTACTGAAAGCTCGAAATTATTAGGCAAAGTACAGCCATCCAGCTGTTTCTGTAGTGTAGTGGTTATCTCATTCGCTTTACGCTTTTATTTGAGATCGAAACTCATTGTTACTTTCCTGATGTCAATGCAAGTTTTTCGCTTTCCTTGTTTGATATCATATCAACATCTACAATCACGTTAATGTTCTAAAAGTGCATCAAATTCCCAATGTTTCTGTCTGGTTTTGAAACCGGAGCCCTTTCGCGTGTTAAGCGAACGTGATAACCACTACACTACAGAAACTGCGCAAATACATCTTCCTGCACCTCCAGAAATTTGGGTCGTTTAAGAATTCATACAACTGCTAAAAACGAGAAAAGTAGATGTCTACTGAAAGCGTGACATTTTTAGGCAAAGTGCAGCCATACCGCTGTTTCTGTAGTGGTAGTTGGGTTATCACGTTCGCTTTACACGCGAAGGCCAGCCGAATATAGCTATAACGAACTTCCAGCCAATCACGTCGATGGACCCATATTTTTGGGCCGGTTCTTCAGTCAGCAATAGAAATGTTCAACTTATTTCAGAACTTTGTTTGATACCTCTGTTCAAATCCGTTGCAATTCAGCTAATGTTAAATTCAACTAATGTTGAATTGCCTGGATTGTATTCCTAACAATTGTATATTATATATTATTGGTCCTTAAATGTAGACCATCATTATATCAATACTAATTATTTCTCCTACAAAAGATGAGGGGACAAACTAAGATCAATGCCTTTGTGCAACACACACCTGTGTATTTGTTTAATGTATGTTTAAGTGTAAAAAGCCTAGCTTTAACCTTGTTAATATAAATGCATTGCTTTTTTAGTTAAAGTTGACTGCCTTTGCAATTATAATATAAGGTCCATATTTTTGGCCAGTTCTTCATGCAGCCAATAGAAATGTTCAACTTATTTCAGAATTTTGTTTGATACCTCGGTTCAAATCTGTTGCAATTCAACTAATGTTGAATTGCCTGATTGTATTCCTAACAAATTGTATATTATATATTATGGTCCTTAATGTAGACCATCATTATACAATACTAATTATTTCTCCTACAAAAGATGAGGGGTAAAAACTATGATCAATGCTTGTGCAACACACACCTGTGTATTTGTTTAGTGTAAAAGCTTAGCTTAACTTGTAATATAAATGCATTGCTTATTAGGTTAATGTTGACTGCCTTTGCAATTATAATATAAGGTATGCATATTCTGTTATAAGGGACAATATCAGTTCTTTGCTTTAGTTTGAATTGATTAATAAAAACACATGTACAGAACAAATATACAGATATAGCAAAGATACAGACACTGTTAGGGAACAGGAAGGGTGGACCCATGCGGCTGAACACAGGGGAGGCGGGAGGACGGGATGAAAAGACAGGGAATTTATTTACACAAAAGGGAAATAGCAAACAGGCCAGGCTAGGCCCGCGGTAATAGGGCAGGCAGGGGGTTCGGCATCAGGCAGGCAGTCGGGACAGGCGAGGGGTCGGGCAACAAGCGGGCAGTCGGGACAGGCGATGGGGTCGCAACAGGCGGGCAGTCAGGCAGGGTTCGGGCAACAGTGTTCAGCAACATGCGGGGTAGTCAGGCAGGCGGGGTTCGGCAACAGGCGGGTAGTCAGGCAGGCGGGGTTCGGCAACAGGCGGGTAGTCAGGCAGGCGTGGTTCGGCAACAGGCGGGTAGCCAGCAGGCGGGGGGTTCGGCAACAGGCGGGGAGTCAGCAGGCGGGGTTCGGCAACAGGCGGGTAGTCCAGCAGGCGGGGTTCGGCAACAGGCGGGTAGTCAGGCAGGCGGGGTTCGGCAACAGGCGGGTAGTCAGGCAGGGGGTTCGGCAACAGGCGGTAGTCCAGCAGGGGGGTTCGGCAACAGGGGGTAGTCGGCAGGCAGGGTTCAGCAACAGGGTTCAGCAACAGGCGGGTAGTCAGGCAGGCAGGGTTCGGCAACAGGGTTCGGCAACAGGGTTCGGCAACAGGCGGGTAGTCAGGCAGGCGGGGTTTGGCAACAGGCGGGTAGTCAGGCAGGCGGGGTTCAGTAACAGACAGGTACTGGATCACTGGTAAGAGGTTTGGTAAACAAGAGCACAAACTGGCATCGGCTGGCTGGAGAACCCTGGCTTAAATAGGGAATGGTGATTGCCAATTGCCAACAGGTGTGTTGGGGGAATGATGATGAGTGGCGACAAGCTGCCACTAGATGGGATTGTTGGACCGTGTAGGGACGGGTGGTGTAACAGACACAAGCCTAGCCCCTCCCTCCTCCTCCTCTGTCCACCTCTGCTTTCAGCCCCATAGATGTTTGGACTGTTTGAAAGTCCCTCCATGTCATGGTGTCGGTCATCCCCTGTGTCCGGTACAGGGACACACTTTTTGTGGGCAGTATATAATTTGCCAGTAACCCCAGGGAAGGTGGTGTGAATATGTGGGCTTGTGGGGCCCTTGTTTGAGGGGCTGGTGGCAGAACTGGCAAAGGCGGCCAAAGGTGTGCTGCTACAGTTTTATTTTGCTCCGTTCCTCTTTGACCCTCTTTCTCTCTGCCCCCCTCGCTTTTGATGACTCCAGCTCCCGCTGGTAGAAGGGAGTGGCAGGCAAAGTCCTCAAAAGGACATCCTTGGATTGGTGAGGCCTTCTCCTGCATAAGTCTGGTAGACTTTTTTCGAGCAGAAGAAGTACCTCACCTCTCCAGCCTGGTGGAAAAAGTGGATGGATGATCATCCCCAAGGTAGCGGGACTTAGGCTTGGCCACAGCGAGGCAGGTCCTCGGTCAACTTCATCTTCTTCTGCTGCTGCTGCTGCTGCTGCCTGGGCTGTCTTTTCCAGGACCTCCCCTTACCACCCTTTCTATTTCTATCTGGTTAGTGGTGGCACTCTGGGAAGGGTTGACTGCTGGGGGGTTTACCACAGCAGGTGGCAGAGTTGTGACTGGGACACTGACCTCTTCTGCAGTCAGACTCTGCCACAGCTGCTGGGTCTCCAGGAGCTTCTCCGGGCTGGTGTTTAATGATGTGCTAGCGTTCTTGAGCTTAGCTACATGCTTGACGTATCGCGAGATATGCTGTCTGGTGGTGGGGTGCAGGAGGCTGTTGGGATCCCAGCATGACCTTTGAACCAGGGCAAGCATAGGTCAGCATCCACCCACTTTTAGGATTTCTTTCCTGCCATGATGCTTGGCCAGGAGTCCATCGATGGCAGCTCTCATGGGCTCTGTCCATCGGCTGTGGTCCAACACGAATATTAGACCTCCAGTCTTAATGGGGCCAGTGCGGGCAGCTCGCGGATGAAGCTCTTGGGGGGCAGTGGTGGGAGTGCTCTTTAGATCTGAAAGAGAGGCACAGAATTATTTTAATGACAAAGCCTTAATGACAAATCATTAGTTTAAACCATGTGTGTGTGTGTGTGTGTGTGTTGTTTGTGTTTGTGTGTGTGTGTGTGTGAGTGCGCGCTGCGTGCGTGCGTGTGTAAGAGAGAGACAGAAGAGAGAGTGAATAAGTAAGAGAGAGAGAGAGAGAGGAGAGAGGAGAGAGAGAGAGAGTGTGTGTGTGTGTGTGAGAGAGAGAGAAAAGTGAGTGAGTGAGTGAGGTGAGTGAGACTGTGTGTGAGAGAGAGAGAATGGCTACACTATTAAGCATGTGTGTGATATAATCTGAATTACCTGTATCCATCAGGGCAGCTTGTGGGGAGGAATCCCGTGAGGCTGGGGCCTTTGCTGGTGGGGCTGGATGGGTTTCAGCACAAAGGGATGCCAGCTCACCCATTTCAATCTTCTCCTGAAACAGAGGGCGTATTAGCTTAAAGTGCCAATAATCAAAAAGCTGAAGAGTGTGAGGGAGTGAATACGAGTACTTACCTCAGAGGTTTCTCCCTCCAAGGCCTCAGAAGAAACAACAGGGGCAGCGGGGGAAGTGGAACACCACAGCTTGGACAGGGGACTGCTGGCAGGACTGCTGTTCTGTCTCTGGAGCTACAGGAGTCACCGGAGGAACTTTCTTTTGGGACTTGTGTTTGTCCCAGTTGAGGGGAACTGGACGACAGACTGGCTCTAGATACTGGAGGCCAAACCTCTCCCCTGTGTCCCTGTTGGACACGTGCAGCACTGGATATTTGGCCTGCCCTGTCACTTTCACTGATGCCACGTTCAGATCCATGATCAGCACAGGGTCAAACACAGCAGGTAGGACAACGTCAGGCTGTTTTAAGTCCACCAGCCTCTGGAAGTTCCAGCGCACGACTCCTGTCAAACCCTGGGCCTGGAACAGCTCAGTGGAGACCTGGTTACCGGTCACCCACCGAGCCTGGTGGAAATGAAAGCCCTCCTGCTGGGAGGTCCCCCTCACAGGGATCCAGATAGGCACAGCCGCCCCCTCGCCCTTGGTGTGATTCAGCTGCAGGGTCCTGCCGTACCTATAGAGGATCCCATCCTCCACTTCCGGGTCACTCAGGCAGCCCTCTCAGGATGTGCACACGCTGGATCCTCCAGACCTTCAGCATGGACGGCTTTGAAGAGGAGCACGTCGTTGGGGTCCTTAGCCAGGTGGAAATGGTGGAAGACCTGTTCGACTCTCTGCACCAGTTCCCTCGGATGTGGCACCTTTGTCCTGCAGTGCTCCCTGATGTGCTGCTTGGTTGGAATGGCAGGAGCAATCCTACAGAAGGTGT